CTCACTGTATTAATGTAAGAAAAAAGGTCAGAGAACAATGTGTGCTTGTGGAAGATTGCAAATGTTTCCTAATGTTTAATAAACACACAATCTCAGTTGTACCTTCTCACCCTTGGGTGACAAAATGGCAAATTTTACCTGTGAGTCACAATTGATATAATGGTGGAAAATATAAATAGCTCCCTACCAAGAAAGGTTCATTAATATGTATTTGAAGCCTAAAACACTGTTCAGTTATGAGGGGAAAGTACATTAGAATTGCTTTGGATTATAATAATTTCAGCAAAGCATCTAATTTATATATTAAGCTTGCTTAATAGACTTATATTGCCTTGTTCTTTGATCTGAAGAAAAAGGTGATGCATAATTTATTGTATTAAGAAAACACACACACACACACACCCTCCCAATCTGCTTGGCGATTTTACATTTTTAAGAAGTGCTGCTTAAACGTCAGGGGAATGGGTTCCCAAAGGTTGCTTCTAATATAACACATTTTCGCGGGGTATATGCGCTAGGGAACAAATCATAATAGTAAAGGAATGCAGTTCTGCAGACAAATGTTTCGGCTCTCTGCCTTCTTCACTAAAGACAGTCATTTCAACTAGATGCCAAAAGGCATTTAGCTGGAACATTTGTCAGCAGACTAGGGCTGGCTTTAGGTTTCCCTCCTGATTTACAATTGAGTGTTTATTAGGTGTACCATACTGCAACACGTGTTGTTAACCTCTGAAAAATCAGCCAGCTTGTGTGTTAATCATGGGGACTGACGTTTGTACCCATCCAGAGGGCCAGCACCTGGCGCTTTGCACCCGCTATGCCAACCGGTAGGGAGAGGGTATAGGATGCTCATGAAGCAGTTGCATAAGGGGAGGAACGATGTGGCACGGTGTTGGGAGTTAGGAAGCATGGGTCTTGTTCCTGGCGTAGCAACAAGCTTCTGATGAGATCCCGGACAACTCAGTTTCTCAGTACCTCCGATCCCCGGCTATAAAATAAGGACAACGCTGCCACAGGCTGCGAAGGAGGAGTCGTTAGATAAATCAATAAATGCCTGGGATGTGGCAGACTGCTACGATGATGAAGCCTATATAAATAGACAGAAATACCTTTGCAGCCCAGAGGTGAGCTATAATATTGATATATTGGTCAAAAAGCCCTTGCGTGGGTCACAGTCCCTTGGCCAAGCTGTGTGTGTGGGTCAGGGGAAGACTCTACCGCAGGAAGCACGGCTGTTTAAAGCCTAATTATTTCGGCTTTATGCCACACTTGTGGATTTCGCTGAGTGGGGTCATTAATATCCATTATAGTCACTCCTCAATAATCCATGTCCTAGCAACATACACTCCGTGTTAAAAGGGAATGTTAGTAATCACGGCTTTATCATGACTCTTGACAAGTCTCCCATTCACATTTCCCCCCCCGCCTCCATTTGTCCAGAGGAGTGAGTTGTCAGACATTTACAGTAGCTGTGCATAGGGTTTATTCATATTTAAATAAAGCCATTATCCTGGCCTCGAGTTTCAGTAGTTTTCGACTCTTTCTCTAGAGTATATCTCTCAGTAGTGCCATCTAATCAGCTTTAGGTTTTAATTAAACAGCTGTCATTTGCTTCCTAGTTCTGTTGCGACCTGATGTTGTATTAAATTTTAATTTAGCCTAGGCTGGATAAGAAGTAGATTCCTTCAGACAACAAAGAAACACTATTAGCAGGTTACAGTTGTAATTAAGAAGAGCTCGGCTGAAGCGCTAATGCATTCAGGTAGAGAGAAGGAATTGGAGATAAACACTCATGTAATTATTATTCAGGGACCCAGCCTGCAATATGAATATGCAGTTTCCACCTGCCTTGGTAGAATTCCAGATTTGATGTGATATCTATCCTTAGGAAAAGCCTCAAAGTACAGAAGCAGGAAAGGGTATTCACCGTTTTACATCTGGGACTTTTCAGCTCTCTGTTTCTGATTCTTCACCGATGCCTTTAGCAGAGATACGCAGAGTTTCACTCTCTGAGGATCTGGCCATATAACTTGTGCTTTCACTTCTCTAGATTTCAGATGCTGTCAGTAATAGCCATCACAGATACGTTACATTCAGAAAGCAGTTTCTTTATAATAAGCTCTACCACAGAGACATAAAAGATACCTATTCGAATCTAGCAGAAACGCTGTTACATGTTGGAGACGTATTTAAAAAAGCTAGCTTGTTTCTAAACCTTGCGGTCAGACAATTAATTCAGTTCTTACTTCACACCTCTGAGGAAATATATTTTTGACGTCTGAACATAGCTAGCTCTTAGAAATGTCTTTACACAGCCTACCGTAGTTGCACAATACTGAATCCGAGCCTCTGAAATATTGATTTATATTGTAGTTTTTCTTCCCAGTGAAGTGCGTGTTTGTGATGCAGCCACAGCTAGTTGGCACTGGGGGTTTCCCGGCATGCTGTGTTGTGGGGAGGAATGCAGGAGCACACCTAAGTCAGGATCAAGAAAACTGTATTTGAGAACATGCAGAAATGAAAGGGCCGGTGATGTGACCTTCTCGCTTGAACTCAGCATCCCCCATTTGTGTCAAGTGAACAAAAGGAATACAAATCCTACTGTAAACTTTGCATTAACCTTCAGTAGCACTGAAGTCTGATTGGCATTTGGTGGCTAATAATCACCAATCAGTTCTTACAAAGAGGTGCATGGGGCTCTGTTTTCCTATCCTACACCAGTGCATATTGATTTATATACCAATTGTATCTTGCTGTTATTTTACACATTGGTTTATATTGATTTTATAGTCCTGATAACTGGTGCCAAACTGATCTAGGCCTGCAGTCAATGGAAGCCTTTTATTGACGTCAGTGGCGTTGGATCAGAAAGCTGGCTTCATTCATTCCTGGTATAAATGGATGAGGTTGACCCTATTTGCCCAACATGTTTCATGCAGTCTAAATCTGTCTCATACCAATGCATCTAATTGTTTCATTTTTCATGGGATGATACATTTTTCCCCTTTATCTTGGTCATTCCCTTGTTCTAATAAAGACCTTGGGGTTTGTTTGCACTTCCACTTTTGTCTTCTGTTTTCTCACCAATACTTGTCCTCCCTAGAGGAGGACATCTGATTATAAATGAGCTTGATCACCCTCAATGAGCATTCCTCATCTATTGCATTAAACTTCTGGGCTATACCTTACATAGTCTAGAGCAAAGAACATATCTCTCATACATATCTTCAACATATCAAAAGCAACGTTTCTTGGTAATACTTTTAAGTACATGCTTAAATCTCACTGAAGTCAAAGCTTCAAGTTAAGCACGTGCTTTTAGTGGTGCCCCTAGCAGAGCTGGTCTCAAGCACACACACAAGTGCTTTCCTGAAACCTGAATGATTGCAAAGCATTAACATGCTTGTTTATTGAGCACTACTGCTATCAGTACTTGAATTCATTTCATTCAAGCTAGTTTCTGTAGAATTTGCCTGATACTGATTAATAATACATCCTCGTTGCAAATACTTATTGGTCATTTCCAGATGCCTTTGACTTTTGGTCAATACCCATCGCTTCCCATCAATCTAGCTAGCAGACAGAAGCAAGGGATAGCGAATCTGCCTTTGCATGTCAATATCAGATTTCTCACTAAAATCCAGCTCCACTTCTCCTGACCCTAATTACAGACATTAAAGGAAGATTAGTTGGACAGCTACTTTTTTCATAGTTGCCAAACAATGATTACTTTTATGGAAGCAAAAAATGGCGAGCAAATAGATTGAAAAGGAAAAAATATATATATATATAGATATATATATCAGCCGCAACCCGTTTCTGAAGCACTAAGACGAAACTCGCAAGAAGACATTGATCATTCACTGCTGTACACGTTTCTGGCTCTGGTGGTAAGGGTTTCTTCTGTAGAAGCAAGTTCCTGAAAGGATTTTTGGAAGTTCTCCTTCAATGTGCACTGCTACCACAGTAGCAGCTCATTTGGAGTAATTAATCAAACTGCATCCATGCCATGATATAGACGAAGGCTGTGTTAATGGAGTCATTAGTGTGCGGGCTCTGTGAATTCATTAGAGACGGAGATAAATGTAGCTTGATGGCCAGTAAAATGCCTCCAGGTGGGATTCTGATGGGGAAAGATTTGAAAATTTGCATTTGGCATTCCATTGTTGTTGGCTCCACATCTCTTTCTAATTTGACACGAAAATGAAGGTTTCACTCACCATGCAATTAAGCCGACAAAATAGAAAACCATCGAACAGGCAAATCTTTTAAAGAGAATCTGAAAAATAGCACGTGTTGAAGTGGGGTGGGGAGGCCAGGAAACAGTGTACTTGTTATCTATATCTTCATCTACTGACATAACTTGGGGGAAAGGAAGTCGAGAAGGAATCATTATATCCCAGGGGTGGGGCGTTATTTGGGCTGGATGGCTGCTTAGGAAGCTTTGGTGAGCAGTTGTGGGCCGGGGAAGGGGGCATGTATCCTATCCAGCCCAGGCCTATCTGCACTGCACCCATTGCAGGGTGTGTGGGGTCTGCATACAGACCAGCTCAGGACCCCCACAGGCAGGGCGGGCTCGGTTGGCCAGATGGGATGGGGATGCAGGTGGGTGGGGAGTGTTGTCTGGGAGCAGGAATAGTGGGCAGTGCCAGGGTTGGAGCCAGGATCATGGGGCGGTGACGGTGCGGTTCCAGGGCCCAGAGCAGAGCTGCAATCTGTTTCCCGGATGGCTCTGAAGCCTGTGAAGATTGTGACAAATGACCCTATCGTTTGCAATGCAGAAGAGCCATGCTTTCTTATACTGTGCTGGGGGTGTCAATTGACAGGCTCATCATTTGCTATTTTGAATAAGCAGAGGACTTGAGCAGTACATGATTTAAAAGAACTGCCAGTCAAGGATGAAAGTCAACAGGCATCTTCACTAATTGCCCGTAAGAGTTTCTCCATTATGTCAAGTGGTCAGGTTCATTGAACATCCAACCCCCTTTTTGTATGTGCAGGACACTGAAGTCCTCAACACAGCCATTCTGACGGGCAAGACGGTGTCTGTGCCGGTGAAGGTTGTTGCCGTAGAGGAGGATGGTTCAGTGATAGATGTTTCAGACTCCACTGAATGTAAATCAGCTGATGAAGACGTCATAAAGGTAAGGAGGGTAAACTAAGTCATGCTAAGGTTATGTGGGCATAGGTCGCCATCATACTAGGCCCCAGAACAGGAAACAGCCACAGACCTGGGTCCTTGTGCTCTGTGTGGCAATATGAGCCCCTGCCTTTCTGGTCCTGGAGGTCTTGGCACAATGGTTTACTAACCACTAGTACAATAAGGTGTTGGGTTTCTGGAGGTGGTGCACGTGTGCTTCTGCTTTGTAACATGGAGCTCAGTTATGCAAGAGCTCTGTCTGTGGTGCGGCAGAGACAGAGGGTGGGGAAAACAGATCTCAGGTTGAACCCTGAATGCATGGTCCTGCTCTTTCTTTGCTGGCCAGAAATTTAGGCCACACTTCAGGGACTTTGATTGTTATGTGGTCCTTAGGCATCTGTTACAAAACGAGTAGTAACATTCCAGGTTGGGACACAAGGTTGTCTGTACATAACTGACTTGTGGCCTTTCCCACTCGAAGTCTCTCAGCAGTAAAGATGTTGACCTGCACTAAACTATGAGGTAGCTTTATGATATGCCGACGAATGATGGACAGAATTATTTTAAATGCTCTTTATCCTAAGAACTATGACCTCCTAAACCACACTTTCCTTTCAAGTATAGTTCCCATGACATTAAGCCCAGACACTGATCTATAGACTCCTTGGGCACATCCAGATGAGTGCGGTCATGCGGTATATGGCAAACACGTTTGCAGTGCCACATACCGTACAGTCCAGAGTTCTCTACCCTGCAAGGGCACGCTGCCCGAGTGTGCACTACTTCGGCTTTTTCCTGATTTTTTGTTTTGTTTTGTTTTTTTGACTCCTGGATATCCAGGGGTCAAAAAAAACCGTGAAGCAGCACACACTCGGGCGGCATGCACCACTAAAAAGCAGTCAGGCTGCTCGGAGCTGTGCTGAGGCTGCTGGCTAGGCTCTGCCCGGCAGGATCACCGTGGCTGCAGCTCCGGGAGGCCTGCAGGACCCCGGGTAAGGCTGCTGGGGCCAGCACAATGCTGGCTCCAGCCTCCCCTACACCACCCGGGGCAAAAAAGCATGTGTGGCACAGGTGTTCCGCAGGGACAAGAAGCAGCGGTGCAAGGTGTGCCACTGCTACTTGTCCCCGGGGAACCAAACGTCCATGCACACCTGGACGCGCCCTTTATGTATAACCTTTGCAACTCATTGATTAAATCTGCCACTGTTGCTACAGGAACAGTCATGCAAGTAAATATTATTTAGCCTTAAAAAGATAAGTATTGTCAAATATGTGTAAGCATAAATTTGTAAATTTAATGGTCTATTTTTGGTAATTTGTCGGCATCTGATTTTAAGTAGGGTGTCTTGCTATGACTCCCTCTCTACCTCTGTGTTGTTCTGAAACAGTATTCTTGGAATAGCAGTCCTTTTTCTTTGCCTGAATTGCAGAGGCAATACTATAGAAGACAAGGTACTATACTTATCTCTTCTACAAATAGAGATCCTGTGACCTAAGAACTTTAATACTAACTGCTTCTGTCCCCTTTCTGTCCCCTGGTCTTCTAGATATTAATTGCGTCTTCCCCAAATACATTCCAGATCTGACAGGCCACTTTTATATGTTCTCTGGAGATTGCATTTGAACCACACAAAGCCCACACTTCTGTATTTTTAACTTGCCCATATACCCTTTTTTGTAGATAAGACCACAGAGGTCTTAGCAGATAGTGAAGGTTTTGTCAGAGGATTTTTCAAGCTCTCATAGATAGGCAAGGAGACCTGCATAATCAAACTATTACTCATTTTGAAGTCTACATATATTTATTTTCATTGGCCCTCAAAATTCACCTTCTTTCCTTATTTCTGAAAACTTGGAATGAGTTTGTTATCATCTGTAACATCTGATATGTGGTAAAAACACACTATAGCATATTTCCAAAGACAGAGGAAGGCCTTGGGAATTTAAAAAATAATAACCCTTATTTTGCAACTTTGTAGTCTGTATGGAAGGTAGGTGAAATCTTAGGGTATCTGTTGTCAAATTGGAGTACCCGTTGATTGTGATTGTAGAAAAAAGGATGGTTGTGTTAGGGTGGATATCATTATCAGGCTTTACAACAAGTTTTAGCATGCTGCTTTTTATAAGTTGGGAAAATTCTCTTGTGCCATGTGTGAAAGAAAAGAAGCATGCTGAAATCTGTGCCCAAGTTAATGGCTACTGTAATTCTGGTCCCCTGCATTAGGTGTTTGATTAAATGCAAATGATCTTCTTCCCCTGCCATGGGTGGAAGGATCTGAACCGAATCGTACGTTGTCAACCTGTAAGACCTTAGGCGAAGAAAACGGCCTTTTTCTAACTGCAGCTTCCCCAATTGCGCTAATGGTATAGGTGCACATGAACAGGCATTGAGTACATTTGTTCAGATCTGATTGCATCTTCCAGTTTACTCTGACCAGAAACTCCAGTCCAAATGTACTAGGTCCCTTCCTCTCTCTGCTTCTCACCCCACTAGCTTCAATAACCACTCTCATTTCCTTTGAAAATGTTTGGAGGCACCCATTCAGTCTCTTGGGGAAGAGAAGGAAGAGACCTTCTCTTCTGGGGATATTCAGAGGATGCCATTTCCACATCTTCCAGGCTTCAGGTATGGGTGCGGCGGGGAGCTGCCTTGTCAGATCTTAGTCCCACTCAGTTCTGGAAAAGATCTGCTTCAACAGTAGGGCAAAACACCATCTTCTCCGCTGCGGCTGTTGGGCGAATGACTGGAGCCAGAGATACACCTATACTATTTGGCTATGGCTAAGGAAAGGGGCAGGGTGGCAGAAGTCAGCTGAAATCCCAGTTTGGAGAATCTAGGTTGGTGACAAGGTCTATAGCTTGGTGACTTTGGCTAGTTTTGAGGTTTCTTCTATGACTATTTATCTCTAGGTATCATAAACCTAAAGTATGTGCAGGCAAAAGAAAGGCCTGGGTTATGTATTGGAGCCTCAGTCCCAAGTGCAGGTGTCAGGGAGGAGCTATTGGTTTTGGTGTAATAGCGTCTAGGACTGTTCGTTCGTAGATGCTTAAATGCTTTATAAAGGAGGTCCATATCTTTCTCCCCATGGTACAAACGGGGAAAGAGAGGTAAGGAGAGGTGAAGTCACTTGCCCCATGTCATACAATAGGTCAGTGACTGAGCAGGGAGCAACAATCCAGGTCGTAGAGTTCCCATCCGCGGCTGTAGTCCCCGCACACATTTCTGTGACGTCACGCATCAACCGCAAAATCACATTTCCATTTGTGTGCAACCAATATTCGGTGAAGGTCTGTACCAGGAGGAACATAAATTAGCATCTTAGTATGCAGCTAACATGATTTTCAAAGGAACAGTTTGCTTTAATACATTTAGCCTCTAATTTTTTTGCTATGAACTGTGCTGCTATTCTTATCTGATTAACAACTATTATTTATCGCTTCACAATGAACTGTTGCTCTTGTAAACTCAAGAACTGAGCTATATATCATCGGCAAGCATCAGCATATTGCTGAGCCCATCCTTTTTTTCTTTTTTCCCTTCAGAAACCCAGATGCAGATCTATAAAAGAGTGCCCATAGACTTATCTTTGTATTAATTATGTTTCTAGAATTTCTAGGACTTACTAGGGTGAGGGAGGACTGGATTGAACTAGATAGAAAAAGGTCAGGGAAAGGACTTTCTTTCCCCTCTAATAAAATTAACATCTGCAGACTACAGGGAGGTGATACATTTCAAAACACTGCCTGTTTAAAATCCAGTTAGTTCAAGCAGCAGTCCTCCATATGGAAATGCTGTCAAAGCTGGGCATGAAGTTGTTCTGGTCCCTGAATTTAAAAGGTCCACTGGAGCTGGCAACTAAATAACGCTTGACACGACCTCTAAGAGAAGAGACAAGTTTTCAAGTTGCAGTTGCGAATTTATACACTTCCTGAAAGCAAGGCACCTGCCCTTTGACCCATGTGCCTTTCTTCTTTTTCAAAATAGGTTTTATTCTTAGGTGGAATAAGAATGAAGGGCCTGCTGCGAAGCGCCTTCAAGTCGGTGAATGTCTTTACAGCAGGCTTTGCATCGGGCTCTAGAAAAACAGAGCAACCCCAGCCTTAGCTTGTGCCCTCTATAATGCCACTCGTTTTTGGGAGGTTGAATAGCAGGTAAATACGAGCTTAATTTGGCTGGCTTTCTAAAACGACCTGGATATCACACTACCCGAGAGAAGAGACTTGTGGGACTGTGTCCCACACCTTGCATACTAGGATAACTTGACTATTTAATGAACCATGGACAAAGCCTGATTCACATTTGGGCTAAGGCCATTTTACCTCACCCTTGTCGTGTATCACAGGTTCTGAAGATGAAGTAATTTCATTTTGCAGATTGTTACAACCACCCTGCGATAATGTGCTTCCCCATAAATTACTGCTGTGTATTCTCAGGCTCAGCTCTATTTTAGCACAAGTATTTTTGTCTGGGAATTTTTGTTAAGTGTTGCAGGATTGAAGCCATAACTGTTAATCATCAGAGTTGGAATTTAGCTTGGGCATGGGCCACAACCATCACACTTTTCAAAAAGAGCAGATATCACCTTTTCTAAGCACCTTTTGTTAAGTCAATATTGACTTCACTCCAAAGCACATTGCCCTTCCTCCACACGTCATACAGAGTTATACCCTCTAATAAGAGTTGTCAGGCCATTTGAATGTAATTGCCTAATTTTGTGCCTCTTTACACTATTAATTCCATTTTTTATTGTTCCTTTCTAATTGGAAAGATGTCATATTCTTTTGGCCAGAACAGAGAGTGCATTCATAACCTTTTATTTCTGTTTAGTAGATTATGATTTAGTAGATTGTTTAATGAGACCATCCTTTGCTCACTGGTATAACTCCATTAAATTCAATTAAACCACTCTGGAGTTTATACTAGTGCAGAGAGCAGCATCTTGCCTATAATAGTACTATGTGTACAAGCCATGAAGTATGCTTATATTTACAGCTACCTAGTGA